CAGAACGCTCTCTATGGTGCTTCTGGAGAAGGTGGGGAGGATGGGGGGGGCACTGTCAAAATGATTTGCTAACCCTCCAGCAGGGGGAGTAAAGCAGCCCGGAGGTGCGAGTTCTCTGAGCAAGTGGCTGTCCTTCCTGTGTCTCTCTGTTGGGATATGGATGTAGCGTAGCGTCAGATTGGCCTCTGATGACCTCACAGCATCCTCCTCTCTGTGTGTCAGTATTCAAACAGGAAGGTTTCTCCTACTCCTTCTCTAAAAGCTAATGTTGAATGTTTTTGTGTCAAAGCATTTATCAGTGTGCTACCTGTTTCTCATGAAGGTTTTGATGATCATTGCAGCACTTTTTGCCTTAATATTCCAATACTTTGGGTTAAAATGCTTAATACAAATGTATAAATGATATATTTACCTCTGCTAGAGATTAGTTATATGTAAATATGATATAAATGTTTTATTTTTACAGTTTTGACAGTGTTTTTCCTATAAAGGTGTAATTTTGCTTGACTTGCACACAGTCTGTATGCAGTTCTTCATGCATACATGTTAGTTAAAGTGAAGTATTTGGCAGTAAACCAGAGAAGACTTGGATGTGTCTGGTTGTGATGGAGGCCTGAGATGGACGAAACATTCCTGATCTGAGCGTCCTCGTTCATTCAGCAGAAACCGAGCCACAGCACAGCAGCAGCACGGAGACGTTTTACATGAATCCTTCATCACCTTACAGACGGTTGTTGTCTATGCGCCCATTAGAGTGGTCCACTGGCGCCGGACTGGCTCTGATGAGCCACCATGCTGGCGTCTGGACGGGGCGCAGCGTCTGATATGATGAGCCTATAGCGGCCCGAGCTTCGGCGTCCCGTGACTCTGAGCAGCTCATGGTAGATTTCACTCAACACCTCCATGCTCAGCAGGTTCTTCCAGCGGTTCACACCGTCTCCAAGGCGTTTGTCTTCATTCAAAGTCCACAAAGCTAAAAGCTGCAGCATGCTACCTGAGCACCGTCTTCCTGGTGAACTTCCAGGACATCCACTCCACAGAAGGAGTCTGTTGTCCCTGTAGATCGTTGACCGTCAACTCCACGGCAGGTGGTTTTGCGTCCCAAAGATGCGGCCGTTATGGAGGCGTTCCTGGACTCCCTGGGAATGGGTGCGGTATTCCAAGTTCTTCCCCCTGCCTTGTGCACCTGGTTCTGTTTCTGCTGAATGAATCCCATCATGTGTTGTTTTCCATTTCTTGGTTTGGACCAGAGGATGGAAGTATGCTCTGACATCCATACCTTCTGAAGTCAAGAAGGAGCTGCTTACTTTCTCTGGCTTTTGTTGTCTCCAAGATTCTGGTTTGTATTTGGGAGTTCAGGCTCCCGTTTTTACAGTAGAACTTGTTTATGTAACAAATCCAAGGACTGATGAGACGCATGGAACATCTGAAGCTCTCTGAAGAACCGTCTTTGTCCGCGGTGGCGTGGACGGCCGGACGTTTTCATAAGCTCCAGCGGTACCAGTGAACTATGTTGAATGTCTGTAAGAAACACTGCAATACTGCAAAAGGTAAAGGAAGAAGCTGCTAAAAGGTGTCTGAAGCTCCCTGAGGTGCTCCGGACCTCTTCCTCCTGGATGTATTTTCTGTAATTTTTGTATACAGCTCAAAGCTGCCGCCGTGTGGACCCGCCTCTACCACAGAGCTACGCATCTTAGAGTCCTACTGTGAGTCTAGTTTTTTATCCAGACGTGCCTATATCCCCCATGCCCCCAGCCAGCCTGATGTTCTCCAACACTAAGATGGAAAGGAAAGAGCCGGTGCTGGTCCAGCTCAGAGTCGCCAACAAACCTGGAGCAACTTCTCTCCATCTTCCCCTGAACTACTGTCAGGGGAAAGAAACATGGCTATAGGCGGTGAAACCAGGGCTGCAGCTTTTATTAACCGTTTAGTTCTTCATCATTTGAAACTTTGTCATTATCCAAAGAAAGATTATTTATTGGTTGGCAAGATGACTTCATCACATACATGCTGCTATGAGAGTTTCCTTTGTGAACTCCACTATTTTTACTCATTGTAACAAAAGTTCAATAAAGCAAAGAAAAACTTTGGACTGCTGAGTCTGCTTGGTGTTTCCTCCTCGACCAAAGATTAGGCTCAGGTTCTTTGCCCAAGAATTAAAGGAACAGCACTAGACTGGTTTAAATCTATCTGACCCATTTCAGTTTGTTCACCTCAATCTTCCTCATGCTCAGGGTTACCTGTGGAGCAATGGCGCCACCAGGTGGTGGCCACGGCCATCCTGTGCAATGCCCTGACCACCCCACTCACCAATGTCAATCATACTAGCATCAGTTTAGCATTTCATCCCATTATGCACAGCCAGTGATGAAACATTAAAAATCCCATGTTACAGTAGCAGCCATTCAAAATGTCCCCACTTTCCTTGGCTGGTCCTGAGCTGGTCCTTGTTTGGTCCTGGGCTGGTCCTTGTTTGGTCCTGGGCTGGACCTTGTTTGGTCCTGGGCTGGTCCTTGTTTGGTCCTGGGCTGGTCCTTGTTTGGTCCTGGGCTGGTCCTTGTTTGGTCCTGGGCTGGTCCTTGTTTGGTCCTGGGCTGGT